TTCATTGAGTCTAGAAATGCACTTAACAGGTTGAAACCTGTTTTATAGGTTTGGAGATAAGATTTTGCCATATCCTAGTACTTGATGGGACAGGTCTCTTTTGTGTAAATTGTTGCCCGCTGACATCAGATTGGGGCTACCAGCCCTCTCCGTGTTCTGAGACACATACAAACTTACACATATAATGCTGCATTTTCTTCCCCACTTTGTCCTTTCCCTTTATATTTGCCACTGGTGCCCATAGGCATAGTTGAGGACCCATCGTGGGTGACCCTCTGAGCTCAGCCAGAGGAAGTCAGAGGGATTTTCAGATGGAAGGATGGATGCCCTGACAAGGACGCGCAGCAATTGAAACTCTCCTCCATTTTGCTGCTGGCACATGTATATAAAATGGCACTGTCTCTTTGGAAAAAAGTTCCACAGTTTCTTATAACGTTAAACGTACACCTGCCTGATGATCTTCCAATTCTACTCCTAGGTATTTGCTTGAGAAAAATGAAAGCATATTCCACACATAGACTTATACAAGAATGTTTGTAATAGCTTCTTTCATAACAGCCTTAAAACTAGAAACAAACCAAATGTCTATCAATAGATGAATGGAAAAACAAACTGTGATGTATCCATCCAATGGAATGCCACTTGGCAGTAAGAAGGAATACACTAGTGATATACTCATCAACGTGAATGAATCACAGACATATTGTGTGGAGTGGAAGAAGCCAGATACAGAAGAGTGTATGTTGAATGACGCCATTTATATGGAATTCTAGGAAATGAAACTAATATATAGTGACAGAGGTTGCCTGGAGTTGGAAGTGGAGTAAAGGGTCAAGAGAGGGTGATAGCAATGTTATGTGTTTTGATTATGGTGGTAGTTACGTGGGTGTGTATATATTTGTCAAAATCCATTGAACTGTTCACACTCAAATATGGGTGCCATCTAGTGTACATAAATTACACCTCAGTGAACTACTTATTACTTACAGCTTAGATGATTGATTTCTTGAATATGTGTAAGCACATTTGACTGTCCTTTATGACTGGATTACTGTATATTCTGTTGATTCTTATTTTGTGGTTGGCTTTACTCCTTTGATAATTATATAAGTTTAAAGAGCTAAAGCTCTAAACTGTTCTTAGAAAAATGAACACTACATATATGTAAATTTTAAAACAGTTTTATCTCTCAAAACAAAAAAAAGTACCTCTAGTGATTTCTTAGGAACAGTAAACGGTGAGAAACCCTTATGGTATGTGTTTCTTGGCCAAAATTCTAGTGATTTACACTGAAAGTGTTGCAAGCATTTCAAGAAGAGAAGGCTTGTTTTAAAACATAACTTCCTTCTGGAGGAGGGTATAGCTCTGTGGTAGAGCGCATGCTTAGCGTGCATGAGGTCCTGGATTCAATCCCCAGTACCTATGTTAAAAATGAATAAATAAATAAATAAGCCTAATTACCACACATACCCCAAAAAAAGGCAAAAAATAAAGTATTAAAAAATAAAATAAAATAAAATATACCTCAATAAAATGGATATTTCAAAAAAGAAAGATTTGACATCATTAATCAATAGGAAAATTCAAATCTAAACACAGCGAGATATTACTTCATACCCATTAGAATAGCTGTAATCAAAAAAAGGAGAAAGCAAATGTTATTTAAAATAACACAATAACAAAATTAAAATGCAAGGACATGGAGATATGAAAACCCTAGTGCATTGTTGGTGGGAATGTACAGCAGCTATAGAAAACAGTATGGTGGGTCCTCAAAAAATCATACATAGAAGTACTATATGATCCAGCAATTCCACTCCTTGGTGGGACTATAATACCCAAAAGAACTGAAAGCAGGGGCTCAAATAGGTATTTGTAGACCTATGTCTATGACAGCATTAGCCACAGTAGCCAAAACGTGGAAACAACAAAACATCCATCAGCAAGTGAACAGATAAACAAAATGAAGCATATACAGACAGTAGAATATTATGCAGCCTAGAAAAGGAATTAAATTCTAATTTATGTTACAACATGGAAAATGTTATTCTAAGAGGAATAAGCCAGACATAAATGACAAATACCATTCCATTAATGTGACGTACCTAGAACAGTCAAATTCATAGAGACAAAAAGCAGGGCAGTGGCTGCCAGGGGCTGGGGATAGGGGTTGGAGGAATGATAAGTTATTGTTTCATGGGTATCAAGTTTCAGTTTTGCAAGATGAAAAAGTTCTGTGGATGGTTGGTGGTGATGGTTGCACAACAATGTGAATGTACTTTATGCCACTGAACTAAACATTTTAAATGATAAAATTTATGTTTTGTATATTTTACCTCAATAGGAAGAAAGGAAAGAAGGAAGAAAAAAAGGAATGCCTCAACCAGTTGTGCCCATCCAGGGACAGGACCAGGCCAAGGTGCTGCTGGCTCTCAGACCCCACCACCTCTCACCAAGACTATGCACGGACTTCTCAACAAACATGTCTCATTTCACAAACAGTGTATTCTGCCAGGCAGATGAGCGGGACTCAAAGCAAAGGTATTCAAAGGATGAGTCGGGGCTCTCCAGGGACAGAAATGGTGGAAAGGCACAGCAAGGGCAAAGGTTCAGAGGTGGGATCATATCTACTGTGTTCTGAGAACTCCAGTAGCCTGACTCCTATGCAAGAACAAAGGGCTCATGGTGAGCAGTCAGGAGGTAAAGCTGGGGTGAGGCCAAAGAGGGATCTTGAGATTCATAGTCATCGGAATTTCTCTCAGGGGCAGCAGTGAGCCATTCAGTGACTCTGAGCAGAGTGTTGACTTACATGATCTGAGTTTTAGAAAGATGGTGGAAGGAAATGGGCTGGAGAAGGTGAGTCAGGAGCAGAGTACAGGGCGTGGGTGTCAGGAGGTCCCGCTCTTCCAGAACTGCCCTCAGCCAGTCGGACTTCTTTTATCCCAGTCAACCGCAAGCATTTCACCCTTGTGTGCCATTTTGAGAAACATTAAGATCTCACACCCTTTTAACATTCCAGAAATGTCTAAATAAGTTCTCTTTGATGAAAAACAAATCAAAGAAATTCCTAATGAAGAAGAGTTCTTAAATTCTACCCTTTCCAGTCCTCTGCCTCCTCACTCCTACCCTCTGCTCAACTGGGAACCATTGCTCTATAGCAAACCCAAGAGGAAGTGCCACTTACAAGGTCTGCCTGGGCTGTGAGCATCACTTTAGACACATCTTGTCTGGATTAGAGCCTCCTTGGGGTCTCAGAACCATCACAGGCCGTGGCAAGCCCCCATGCTAGGAGTGCCTTCCCTTCTCTACATTCTGGGTGGGTGTGAGGGCTGTCAGTGAGAGGGAACAGAGCTGACCAGCTGGGTGCCGTCTACCTGGAAGCTGCTCCTGCCTCTCTGGTCCCCGTTGTTTCCTTAGTGAGCCCGCCCATAAGGATCACCTGTGGGTCTTGTGAAACACAGCGATGCCCGGGCTTCTCTCGAGATGCTGAACGAGCAGCATCTGGAAGCTGCATGCTGAGAAGTGCTCCGGGTGATTCTCAGGACCGAGCAAGCTGGAGATGCCATGAAGACTGTGTGCTCTGCTGGTGACTGTGGCTGCTGCCCTGAGAAGGAGAAGAGGCTTACAGCACAGCGGAAGCCTGAGCCTCTCTCTCCGGGGTGATGACCACGGCTTTCACTTGGCTTTGCGCGCCCGAGATGGGACGAGTGGGCCCACTGAGGCTTCTGCAGCACAGAACTGGGCCCAGGACCAAAGGGTGTGCACCCCCGGTGGCCTCCTGCTTTCCTGTGTCCCCCCAGGGAGATGGACGGCCTGCAGCTCAGCACCAGGAGCCTCAGAGCTCTGATCTCCATCCAGCCGACGCCCGAAAACCAAGATTCTCACAGACAAGAGAGGAAAAGTCTGCCCAGGGAAGGTTTGTTCAGTCTTTCTTGTGAAGGGGGCTTGAGGTTTGGGGGCCATTTTGCTAAACTTTAGGAGACACCTGAATGCAGTGGACCTGGCTGGTTTTTAAAAAATACTGTTTGATACGAGGCCTGGGAGAACTGAAAGGAAAATGCTTGGTTGTCCCTAGGTAATCTGAGCTGAATTGCTGGAAGACAGAGGGGAGGAAAGAGGGATGGGGTGAAATACGTGCATATATTAAGGAAGAAATAGAGAATGCAAACACGCAGGGAAAAAGTGGGTGGTCTTTTTACATACCCTTCATTTTTGTGCAGCATTGGAGAAAAAAATCTTGTTTCAAATTCATGAACATTCACTTAATTGTAGCCTAACTTTCTATGCTAGTGCAAATTTTTCTGGAAACAGAGCCCGAGACAGGGTGTGAGTACAGTTTATCTGGAAAGTCCAGGGAGCACTTCCAGGGAAGTGGGGAAATGATGGAGGAGGGAGATGGGAACCACCAAAGGGTACACTAGGAACCTAGTTACTCCAGAGGGTTCCTGGAGCTTAAACCTGGGAGACGGTGTAAATGATTCTGCTTGACGGGCAAGGGAGCTGATATATTTATACACCAGCATCTGAGTGTTACTGTTTGACTGCAGTTCCTGGGGTGAGGGGGAGTTAATTCCCTGTCACTTTTCAACTTCTGAGCAGGACCACATGGACAGTTGGAAGTCAGCCAGAAGATAATGACTCAGTGAGGCTCAAAAAATGTGAGCAGGGCACTGACAGCATCTGCTGCATTTTATGAATCCCCAAACTCACTTTAGCCCTCCTGAAATATTTTGACACAGTGCATAGAACGTAATTTAATCTTGTCCTCATGGCTAAGCGGCATCATAAGAGTGTCAGTTATTTTAACCTTCTCTGTTACAGCTGTTATGGGGGTGGTAGAGTGATTTGCTTTCAACAGCAAGCTTGTCGGCTTTTGGAACTTCTGAGCTTTTGCATGTGCTTCTTATTATAGTTCTTTTTAAAAAATACCTTATTTTGCTTATTTTTTGGTTTTTATCTTGGGGGGTAATTAGGTTTATTTATTTACTTGTTTATTTTGATGGAAGTACTGGGGATTGAACCCAGGACCCCGTGCATGTGAAGCACGCGCTCTACCACTGAGCTGTGCCCTCCCCCCTGCCTTTTTATTGTCTCTTCCCCTTTACCTGCGGGCAGACGTGGTGGTGTGCCTGCCTCCTGCAGCTCCGTTCCTTCTCCCCAGCAGACTAGAGTCTGCTGGGAGCTGGAAATCAGACAGATAATCAAGCTTGTTGGAATTATGATCATAAAAGGAAAAAGATGCCAAAACAGCCAAGGGATGTCCTATGAAGGTTCTGAAAGTCTTTGTGTCACCTGGCTCCTCCTAAGCCATTTCTGCCTCTTCCTTGAACCTTGGCTGATCATTGTGCTGTTGGACAAGTGACTTTGGGACAAGTATGAGGTCTTACTTCTGATGTGGCCAAAGGGATTCCTCATACAGGATACGTTTGCCTTCTTGACGGAGACACAGGAAGGAACTGCCACCTCACACAGTCCCTGCAGAAACTTGTGAGGGAGCCAAAGAGGCCACCTAAAGAGAGCCTGGCCTTATCAAAGGCAAAGCAGGAAGGACACACCTAAGTTGTGAAGATGCATGTTAGATAATCACTAGAGTTAACTCTGAAAAGCAAGAGGTGGGGCTGTGGGCTTCTGGGAATTCACGGGACCAGACTCCACAGGCAGCCACAAGAATTCACTTAAATGAGACCTAGACCCTCACACTCTAGTCACGTAAGAAATGTAGCAGAGTCACAGGTTTCTGTTACCTCCACTCGTGTGGACGGAGAGGGACATGGGAGTGAGACTACTCGAATCTGGCAAATAGATCTTACAGGCATCTTTAGACCATTTAGGAAACAGAGGCTTCAATTACAACATCATTCCAGGGCAGCAAATTACCAAGTAAGACAACCAATTACAAACCTCTATTTAGAGATTAATGATTTCTTTCATAAGCCCTGGCAAAAATTTCTGAAGTCAGACTATTTCATAAGACTCCCTCGTTGGTAACACTTACAAATAGTCACTACATCTTTATAGGAAACAGGGGAGCAAGATTGGTCCTCTGTGAATGGTGTCAGTTTGACATTTTGGGGATAATGGTCTTAGTATTAGTTTGGAGATATTGAATTGATGTCTCTCTTGCAGCTGTGAGGAAGAGTGATATCTCATCTTTCTGAGACTCCCCCTCCCTTTTTTTTGGTCTAGTGGTTAATTAAGAAGACTTGACAGTTTCAAGTTGAGGTTGCAGAAGATCATTAGACTAACTTATAAGGAAAAGCAAGTATGAGGAGCTCAACTTTTATTAGAAGGAATTGAGATACAGCAGAGGAGGATTTAATTTCATAGTAACGGAATAAGGGTATGCGATGTTCTTCCGCAGGACTGAGGTGGCTATTTTGTTTTGGAACAAAGTCATGAGTCATATCGAAGATGAAGAGTCAATGCTGCACGCGGCAGCTCGGCCACAAACCCAGAGTCAGCCTGCTCTGAGGACGGGGTAGAAGGCACGGTTAGTCATGGGGCAACCGGGAGACTCCTCAGCCACAGCCTCCCACTCAGCTCACCATCCAAGGCAGCGTCTTTCAAATGATGGGATGTGTACAAGATCAACAGATGGGCAGCTTGTTTGTTCTTACCCTCTAGTCAGATTTCTAAAATGAAACCTAAGAAAAATACAAAGAATGTTGCCATCCGTCAAACCCAGATAACTTCCATAGTTCTTACAGAGCCCTTCACTTGAGAAGAAAGGTAGGAATCATGTTTAGAACAGTCTGGTCACTTAGATTTCATTGCATATAACTCAGCTTTTCCTTTTATGTGTGTGTGTTTCTCATGGATTTTGTTCCTTTTTTTAAACATTTTTTTATTGATTTATAATAATTTTACAATGTTGTGTCAAATTCCAGTGCACCTTATTTTTTTTTTAATTGAAGTATAGTTGATTCATAATGTTGTGTTAGTTTCTGGAGTAGTGATTCAGTTATACATATATATATTCTTTTTCATATTCTTTTCCATTATAGGTTATTATAAGCTATTGGATATAATTTCCTGTGCTACATAGTAGGTCCTTGTTTATCTGTTAAAGTTTTTCAATCTCGCTTATCTGGTTCTCACTGGAAATCTGTTCTTCCTCGCTGATGCCACCAGCAGGTTACAATGGTGGCAGAAGATAGATAATAAGTATTGCTCTTAACTTGGGTGGCCCGTTGGGGGCGTTAGCACATCACAATCTGTACAGTATATGTTTGTCATCATGACTCTTGGTCACACAGGAAATGTTACACACTCAGCATACCATTTAACAAGGCAGTGAAGTCCACAGTTCATTATTCATCCACTCTTTTTATTCAGTGAGTTTATTTGTTCGCCTACCACGGGCCAAGCAGAGACCAAAGCCCTGGAGAGAGACAGGAAAGGACAAGACATGATGTCTGGTGCACTTGAAAACTCAGTGTCTAGTGGGAAAGAAAGGCACATAAATCATCTTCCCAATAAGTGACAAATGTCACTGTAGAGAGGTATGTGACAGTTCCCATAGGAGTTCTAAGGACGAAAGGCTTGGATCACCGTCCAGGGCGGTGGTCCTCAACACTGGCTGGCCTGGGGGAGGAGTAGATCTTTTTAAAAGAAAAACAAAAGGGTGTCTGGGCCCCACCTCAGATGAATGGAATCAGAATCACTGAGGACAGAGCTCAGGCATCACTATTTTTTAAAAATCTCCCCAACATATCCATGTAATGGACCATATTTAGCAATAAAAAGGAATAAAATGCTCATTTATACTGCCACATGGCCGAACCTTGAAAACATTATGCTGAGTGACTTTTTTTTGTAATTCCATTTACATGAAATACCCAGAATAGGTAAATCCACAGAGACAGAGAGTAAATCAGTGGGTAATGGGCATGGGGTTTCTTTCTGGGGTGACAGAAATATTCTGAAATTAGCAGTGCTGATTGTGCAACAGTATGAATATACTAAAAACCAGTGAATTGTACTCTTGAAAATGGTGAATTTTATCTCAACAAAAATAAAACTGGAAAAAAAGGGGGGATTCTAACCCACAGCCATGATTGAGACCCACTAATCTAGGGGAGGGACTACTAGCGTGTTTGGAGATCATTATTATGGATTTTTCCTTTTGTTTCAGGTTCCAGTGTGGCTCCATATACTTGATCCTGTCTTTATTTAAATTCTGATATTTTATTCATCATGAATTTTTATGCATAATTTTATTTTTTATGATATGTTTATAGACATAGTGTTTATCATGATTACTCAGTTCCTTTAAATTTTGCACACTGATCCCAACTCCAGGGCCAAAGCTCATAGATTGAGGGAGCCATTAGCATATGGGAGAGTTAAAACCACAGACGTGAGTGGGATGGCACTGGGGGAGAATGTGGAGCGAAAAGAGAGAATAACAGGCCAGAACTGGGGGTGGGGGGACATTCACGTTTAAGGGCCAGGAGAAGGAAGAGGAGACTTCGTAAAGGAGACCAGTAACCAATGAGGAAGGAGGCAAACCAGAAGACAGTGGTGTGATAAAGACTGAGGGGGACAGGTTTCCAAGAGAGGGTGTCGAAAGCTTTAAGGGCCCGGGAACAATGCCATCCAGAAAAAGGCACCGGACTGGGCCAGGGGACTGGGGTGTGATGTCCGCAGCGGCGTGGGAGGTAGGAACAGAAAGGAGAGGGTCGAGAGAAGGAAGTTCCCCACTCTGAAGGGAAGGAGCAGAGGTGCTGGAAAATGAGACAGAGTTGAATTTAGCTTATAATGTATTTTAGGACAAAAAAAACTCCGAACAGTTTCGTGAAAAGAAAAGGAATGAAAACCCGGGAAAGGAGGAGCTTTGAAGAAGTGAGAAATCGGGAAGACTGCGGGAGGAAAGGTAAACACTGAGGGTCGTCCAGAGGCGACCTGAGGAAGGACCACTGTCTGCTCCTGCCCTTGAACGGAACTGCCTGCACAGGCCCAGGCCTGGGAAGATGCCGCAGGCTTCCTCACTCTGCTTCCAGAATTTCTCTGAGCCTCCGTCACCTATCTCCCCTTCCAGTCTTCCTCATTCTTGGCTCTTCTGGTTTCCTGACCTCTCCCAGGGCCCCATTTTGGCCCCAAGCCTCACAGCTTTCACCACCAGCTCAGCCACAAGATTAGTGACCTCGTGTAGGAGTTGCTCTCCTGGTGTTAATTTTTGTCATTTCTCCTGGAAATTCCACCCTCACTCCACCACAGAATCTGCCTGCCGTGTTCCTCGGTGGGCAATCCGCCATCATCATGGCCTCAGGCCTTTCCTCAGCCAAGCCTGCCCTGCCCCCAGCTCCTGCCTGGTGAGTGTGTGGGTAAAAGGGGGACCTCTACTCAGCGATGGCTTCCCCCTGAGGGCCCCTTCATCAGAAAGACAGGAGGACCCTTCTGTAGTCCAGTCATCTACTGTGGGAGGGGTTCATGGAGAGCCTGGGTACCAGGCATGGTTGACAAGAGCCCCAGGTGTCCAGCTGGGCTAGAAACAGGAATTAAGACTTTTCTCCCCAGGCATTAAGAAAGAAACTCCAGCATGGGAATTTTGCGTAGGATGGATTCCTGGGTGGGGATTAGCAAGGCTAGGACAGTCCGGGGGTACTGAGTGTGAGGAAATGGAAGGGTTGATGAGCATGTAAATGAAGTGGTTGCCATGGAGTCCGAGCAAGTTAGAGAAGGAAAAGAAGCAGGGGCTGGCAGGTTAGGAAGATGGGTGGGAGACAGGGAACACGGGCGGTAAAGCGGGTCAAGAGGAGCTTTGATGGGGGAGCAGGAAAGGACAAAGCCAAACACCAGAGGGTGTGAACAAAGAAGGCAAAAGAAAGAGTCACAAAAGAGGGGAGGAGACAGCTCAGTGGCAGAGCACATGCTCAGCATGCACGAGGTGCTGGGTTCAGGCCCCAGGACTTCCATTAAAAAATTAAGCAAGTAAATAAAAACCTAATTACCTCCCTCCCCCTAGTAAAATAAAGTAAAATTAAAAAAAAAAAGAATTCCAAGTTCCAGAGGTGGAGCTGTCTGGGGACATGGCAAGGTGGCACTGTGGCCATGGAGGGTTGTCAAAGGG